AAAAGAGGATATTCACCAATTACCTTGATCTTATAAAATATGAACAGCATTATTTATATAGGTAAGGAAACTTCAAGGAATCTCAGTTAATACTCAATAAAAATTGTTGGTCAATCAGAACTCAAAAAAGGACTGTGTTGTTTTCCTTTCCTATTATACATGAGCATGAACAATTATAATCTTGGTTTTAATGTTTAGTAAAACTTCAGTCATTCAATCAGATGTAATTACCATTTTAAAGTAGATTCTTCCTTTGCTCAATAATGTCCTCAGTGTGATCTACATTAGTAGGAAATGCAATGCGGTGAGTAGCACACAAAATTTTATGGCTATTCTCTATTTACTCCAAAAGAGACTTCTTGTAAAAACTTGTTTATAAATGTGAGCAATATAAAAATTGCTCATTCTATGAGAAACACACACATACTCATTAAAGATTATTTGTATATTTGGCTATAATATATGTATTTCCAAACACAGCCTCTGTAAAATTGAACTGAAAGTATGTTCAGGGCTACAAAAAAAAAAAAAGGAGGGTAAGTTCCATCTAGAAACATCACTAGATAGCAGGCATTTGTTCCCTAGAACTGAAACCGGAGACACTGATATGAAGTACAGTTGCTGTTAGGCCTATATATAATATAGTGGCAAAATATCACATAAGCCTTCGGTTTTTAAATTAATTTTAATCTTGATTATTTCCAGAACTGCCTTTGAGAAATCATTTAGTTCAACCAGCAAATCAGGAAAATGAAATCTAGAACTATTACAGGTTTGTCCCAAGGTTACCCAGCAGTAAGTGAGAGAGCTGGGCTGGTACCCAAGGTCCTCATTCACTCTCCAAAATGATTAATTTCATTCATTTTGGTGCTAAATAAAACAGTATTTTAAAATGTGCAAAATTATTGCTCAGGTGTTTAAAATGAGTTTGAGTGTTGAAAACTACTGTATACCTTTTCTTTATAAGACAAAGGGGCTGCAAAGTTTAAGCATGTTTTTATAAGACATTTTCCAGCTTTCACATTTGTAAACAGTATAAAGTGTGATGTTTATAAAGTCTAATTTGTCTCTTGAAATGAGCGAAATAGGCAATGTCTTTTCAAGATACAAAAATTACAGTTCCTTTCCACTAATGTCTCATTTAATTCATTATCTTTGTCTTTAAAGCAAACTCATTCTTTTACATAAAGAAAAATCTATTGAAGAGGAAGATGTAGTTTGGTACTAAGTACAAACTTTCCCTCCCCAGCCTGAATATGGAGGTGCACTTTGATTTTTAAAATCTCATGCTAGCATGGGAGAATCCTACATGTATCAGAGGAACAGAACAGGCGCTAAATATGAGAAATAAAGAATGGACTTAAATTTACTGAGCTACTATGACCAAGTTTTATGTTAGGCACTTTAAATACTTTATTTCACTTTTATTGTAAACAAATTGATTTCACACTTCTATTGACTTCTCTAAATTCCTTTAAAGCAAGAATAGAGTGATTTTTTTAAAAAAACAAATTATACACATAAAACCACAAGACAGAACATGAAAAAAGATGACAACATTAAAATTGTGGAAACTATAAAGCAACTAGTTGATTGCTGAATAATTTAGCAGAAAAAAAACTAAATCCTAAGGCTAGTAGCAAAGAAAGCTGGCAATGGACTGGAATTACACTACAGAATTCTCAGCAGGCTCAGAAACTGGTATCATCAGGTACTTCTAGATTAAGGTGAAAGTAGCCGAAACCGGTTTGGCTCAATGGATAGAGCATCAGCTTGGGGACTAAAGAGTCCTGGGTTCGATTCCGGTCAAGGGCATGTACCTTGGCATATCCCCAGTAGGGGGTGTGCAAGAGGCAGCTGATCAATGACTCTCTCATCAATGTTTCTAACTCTCTATCTCTCTCCCTTCCTCTCTGTAAAAAAATCAATAAAATATATATTTTTAAAAAAAATATTTAGATTAAGGTGAAAGTAATAGAACTGGTTGAAAGTTTTCTTAAGAGCCAGCCAGCTCTCACAGTCATTTTCCCACCCTCTTCCACCGGGAAACGTTCCCTTTCCATTCCTGACAAAAACTAGAGGTTTATATTCTGGGGAAGGGTAAACAAGTCTCTGGATGGGAGGACACTCAAGAGAATTAAAAGAGCACTTAGAATATAAAGAATGCTATTGGAAGTAAAAAAACAAAACAAAACTAAATAGCAGAGTTGGATGATAAAGTTGAAAAATCTGTTAGAAAAAAATAGACAAAGATATGCAAAATACAAAACACCCAGGCCAGGCCAGCCCTAGCCAGTTTGGCTCAATGGATAGTGTCTGTCTGCGAACCAAAGGGTCCCGGATTCGATTCTGGTCAAGGTCACTTATCTCAATTGCAGGCTCCTTCCCCGCCCAGGTCCTGGTCAGGCCTTGTGCAGGAGGCAACCAATTGATGTGTTTCTCTCACATCGATGTTTCTCTCTGTCTTTCCCTCTCTCTTCCACTCTCCCTAAAAATCAATGGAAAAATATCCTCCGGTGAGGATTAAAAAAAAGAAGAAGAAGAAAAAGAAAAAGAAAAAACACCCAGGCCAGGGTTCCAATATCTGAATAATAGGAGTTAAAAAAATAATAATAAATAAATAAATAAATAAATAAAGATTTAGGCATCTGTGAACAGTTTACGGTGTTAAATAGTATTTACACTGGAATACCAATAAATATGTGAAATGCTGATCTTCTCTAAATTGGGAGGATTGAATAATACAAGGGATGTATGTGGTTCAGGGGAGGAGGGAAAGAAAAAATAGAGCCAAAACTTTATATTTCCTTGTACAAATTTGGGGGGGAGGGGGAAGTGACCCCAAAATGTAAAGCAATAAAACCAGGAAGTGAAAATCATTTTTTAAAATTCTATAATGGGATGTAAACCCATAAAATCCAACATCCTCTCAGGAGTGTCTTTATTGACAGAATAAAGACAATAAAATGAAAAAATAATTAAATAGAAGAAAATCTCTGAAGCAATAGTCGCCAACCTTTCAGACCTCGCGGACCACTGCCCTAGAGCCTATGACATGACTTTTCAGATAAAAGGATTCAGCAAAAGTGCTTCAGGATAAATGAAAAACACACCATAAACACATCCTCATTAAATCTGAACATTTCCACAGGTGCTCCTTCTCATTGTCTTCTCTGGATCCTCCTCTTCTCCTTGATCTCTAAATTGTGCGGACCCAAAGGCCTATTTTCACTACTTCTCTTGTATTCCACACCCAAATGCTAAATGATCTTGACTAGTCTCATCACTTTGAGCGTCATTTATTTTATCTCTCCATTTCTAACCTCTCCCCAAAACTTCACACATCAAATGGATTTCCTTTCTGCAATCTAACATACATTTCAAAGGTAATATACCTAAAATAGAATTTTTCTCTCAAGCCTTATTTTAGATTGTTCATCTCCTACTGTTCCCCATCTCAGGAAACAGCAACACCATTAATCCAGTTACTCGGGCCATAAAGCCATGAGTCATGCTTTACTACTGACTTCCTCATGCTTTGCCTTCTATCCATCTGCAAGACCAAGATCTAGCATAAATTTGCAAGAAAGGTGTATCCAAGAAGATTATCAATTTCCTAACACTAGGATGTTCCCCTCCCTCCAATCCCTATAGCTCTTTTAGTATTGATTCTCTCACTCAAAGCAATACAATTTTTAAGAACATGAGAATGCATCTTTTTGTCTATGGTACAAGTACTCCATGTTCTACTGTAAATAATATATATGTAGTATTTTATATGCTGGATATTGGTTTGAAATTTGAAATCATCAAAGTATTGCATACTTACTCCTATTATCTAAATGAAATGTAAATTCTATTTAAATGAAATGTAAAACCTTGAAAATGTAAAAGTAATAAAAAAAAAAAAAAGAACTGAACAGGTGAAAGTAGCTGTGGCGGGAAATAGAGGGGCAATACATTTCTGATATTACACAGTAGAAAATCCAGAGGCACTATCATAAATTTATGGCTCAGGAAACAGAATTTGTATGAACTTAAATAACAAATTTTTTTAAATGAGTCTGATAGGATTGGGAATGGGAAGAGAAAACAAGTATATAAGATTTACATTTGTCAAAAGTCACAAAGGGAATCAGTAGCAATTTTAAAATATATTTTTATTGATTTCAGAGAGGAGGAGAGAAGGTGAGATAGAAACAACAATGATGAGAGAGAATCACTTATGGGCTGCCTCCTGCATGCCCCACACTGAGGATTGAGCCCACAACCTAGGCATATGCCCTGACCAATAACCGAGCCATGACCTCCTAGTTCGTAGGACACCACCAGAATTGAGCCATGCCAGCTGGATAGCAATTTTTAAATTGATATATTAACAAATAAAGTATATGCACATTATTTTAAGACTTGGATTTAAACCTCCAGCAAAACTAATCATAACTGGGTAAATATAGCTATTTATGACAAGTGGGAATAAAGAAAAATGTTTTAAGCCTTACTTGTCATTTAGTATCTTCTTGTGTTTGAAATTTTAATAGGACATATATTGCAGGTATAATAAAAATATAAAAGCGAATATATTAATCAATAATAGATCAAATGATTACATCCAATCTAGTTTTATGTCTAAATTTTCATCCATGTTTATTTAAATAAGATTTTTAAGAAGATTCCTATTTTTGTTTCCCTATTGGTTGGTAGCACAAAAGATATAAATACTGATCAAGGGTATTTTTATCCAGTTTTTATTTTTAATCCACTAAGTACAAAGATTGCTGAACTACTGTCTGGTCAACATATGTTGACACTAGGGTATGAACTTAATGAAAAATTTGAGAAGACACAGTGATTCACTGTAATCCATCCCCTCAAGGAATTGCAGGCCTCTGTACCCCTCTGAAGGGAGACACTGCCGTTTCAAATGCTGTAAATACTTCCATTGTCCTAATGCTACCTCTTGCCCTAGTTTATGCTTATAAACATGGCACTATTTTTACCTTGAATAATGCATGGCTTGGTGGCCTGCAATATTAAAATAGAAGTCTGTTGTGTGCTTCATCTCATTGGTGTGCCCGGTGGCCTCAATCCAGTGTCCTATTGGAACATGATAAACACCATCCACCACGTTGTTTTCATCATAAGTACAGCAACGGTCGTGGTGTGGCCCATTGCCTGGAACAAGAAAGAACAGATAGAACAATTCCAGCCAAGTTCTGCTTAAACAGTCACAAAGCAGCTGACATAAAATTAATAATAAGTAATAACATATATAAAGCTACTACATAATCTACACATTTCAGTATTAAAACATACACTAGAGCAAGAGGGAAAAGAGGAGAAATTTGTAAGAAGCTGGTGATGAATGCCATAGAGTTCTGTGTTCCCTTTGAGCATACTAACTCTTTTAGAATTTCTTGGTACACTCGTTGCGTTAGAGCCTCTTGGAATGAATTATTCTGCAGCCTGATAAACTGCTGAAAAGAGTTCTTAAAGCCATTAATGTCTCTGTAGTACATGCTTTTAATGTTCTGGTATACAAATTCATGCTCAGAATAACTGATTTAGTGTTTTAGTATCAGCTCAAAAAAAAATTCTAAAAATAAATACATCATTTCGCTTAGGATAATGCACTCCAGGTCAGTCAGAGAAAGATAAATATCATATGATCTCACTTATTTGTGGAATATAATGAACAATATAAACTGATGAACAAAAATAGATTCAGAGACACAGAAGCATCGAACAGACCTCAGATGGAAGATGGTGTGTGTGTGTGTGTGTGTGTGTGTGTGTGTGTGTGTGTGTGTGACCAACCAAAAGACTTGCATGCATATAAGCATAACCCATGGACACAGATAGTAAAGGAGTAAGGGCATGTACTGGGGGGGTGAGAATGGCTGGGAAGAAGTCAATGGGGGAAAAAGAGACATATGTAATACTTTAAACAATAAAGAATTTTTAAATAAATAAATAAATGCATTAATAAATAATTAAACAAATTATCACATCCAACCTAGCTAGCACGTACCAAGTTGGTATCATTTTCAGATGGGGAAAGTAAGTTTTACAGAGATTAACTGGCTTGTCCAAGGTCACAGAACTAGTAAATGCAGAGCTATTAGTAACCTGATGCCTCTAGTCTCCACCTTCCCAGTACCTGACAGCTTCATGCTGTTTTCTGCCTATCTCACAAGCACCACACACACCATCCTCCTCCCAGGGAGTGGAGCAAAAGAGGCAGAGAAGGAAGACTATGTTCCAGAAACACTATCTACCCAGTATCAAGGACACTAGTAAACAGATCACTTCAATGAAAATTATAAATCATACATTTTTCTTAGCACTTTATGTAACCACCCCATTGGAAGTCATACCTTTCCTTAATTACCTAATTTCTATAATTTGTCATTAATTAAAAACATAAGCAAAATAAAAATAGGAGTAAGTCACATGTGTTACGTCTATAACATTTTGACTCATTTGTACCTTGCTCTGTCTTATAAAATATTTAATCTCAAGCCATTTGGCATAAAAATCTCAAAAAAATTTTTGTTAAGTCATTGGGCAACTCTTTAAGGATATAATTCCCTTCCATCAGATAGAAGGTAAGGATGGCTTCCTTAATAAATCATCACTGATCTTCCTGGATAAGATGCCTCTTTTGCTCTTGATAACTGCAAGGTACTATACCAACTGCCCTATCAACCTGGATATTTAATAGATGAAAACCAAACTATACCAGCAATCTCACTTCTAGAAATATATCTAAAAGAAATATGAACAAAAGGAAGATATATACAGATATATGTGTATGTGGCAATACTATTTTAATAGCAAATACTGGAGCCTACACAAGTTCATTTACACATTCTTCCACAAATATTTGAGTGCCAACTACATGACAGGCACTGTGCACTAAGTCATGCTAAGGATTTAGGTATTTATCATAAAAGCAATTAAACAAAATATCTTAAGCAAGCAGTTGACATGACAAAGTTTGTACTTTGTAAAACTCTCTCTGGTTTCAGAGTAAAAAATTGATTCAAGCACTCTAGGAATAGAAGCAGAAAATCCATGGTAGGAGACAAAAAAAGCCTGGAGGTAGAAAGGGGAAGGAATGGGCAGATTCAGGAGGAAAACACCACACAGATTCATTAGACATGGAAGGTGAAGGAGGAAGGGAACCAATATATATTTAACTCAACACCTAGGAGAGGTTGGAAGGGAAGCTTACTGGTTTGGCTTGGCACCCTAGGCTTGTAGTGCTGTTTAGGTATCCCAAAGAGAATGTGAAGTAGAGAGTTGGAGTCCATGATTTGACACTCAGACCAGAGGTTCAAACTAGGAAAATGAATGTATGATGCATCTGAACACAATGGCAATGGAAACAAGGATGTAGTGTGAGTCACAAAGAAACACAATATTGATTGAGAAGGAAAGCATTCTAAAACTGTATTTGGAGATAGGGCCTTAGATAATTAAGGTTAAATGAGATCACAATAGGGGGCCCATAGGTACCCGTGTCCTTATAAGAATGGGAAGACACCCCAGAGATCTCTCTCCATGAAGCTATAGAAGAAAGGCCACGTGACAACACAGGAGTGTGAAGCCATCAGCAAGGCCAGGAACAGAGTCCTCACCAGAAACCAAATCTGCTGGCCCTCTGATCTGGGACTTTCTGGTCAAGAACTGTGAGAAGATACATTTCTGTCATTTAAGCCCCCCTCCTCCCCAGTCTATGGTATTTCATTATAGCAGCTCAAGCAGGTTAATGCCCTCATGTATGTGAGATATTCTAGAATTTAATCCAGTTAATAACTAAATATTATATCCAGTTCTGTAGCAAATTGAGATAGATAAATAAAATTTAAAACCTGATTCCAACAATGAATGGACCATTGGTGTTTAGACAAAGGTTATACAAATCAATCAGTAAATGAAATAACAATAAACTAAATGATGACATAACTTTAAAATTATATGATAAAATACTTTTACATTAACAGATCATTCAAAGATTGCAAATAGGCTTCATCTCAGTGGTGTTTTAAATGTACAATAGTATATTGAGATATATTTACAGGAGCAATCGCTTCCCCAAGAGAGCTGATAGATTTGTGGTGTGGACACAAATGTAGAAGACTAAAAATGGAGATGGTTGTTGCTGTATGAGTCAGAATTACTGAGAAAGGGTTTGTGATAGATAATGGGCTGGGTCACAAGCTGAGACTGACAACAGGGTATGTGATAGGTACATTAACAAAGGCATAGAATGTATGAATGTGATCCAATGCAGGAAATAGATAATAAGAAGAAATAAAGTTTATCTCACTGGGTAGCGTGACCACATAATATGGACTCATAGGAGAGCCATATAACTTATCAAATTCTAATTCAAGTACTGTAAAATAAATGGATTTCATGAATTGGAAAAGCAGAGAACAGAATTACCACTTCTTTCACCATGATTTAAGCAGTCAGATTTTTTTTAATGAAGAGGATTTATATTAATTAGTGATTCATGGGAAGCATCTCAAAGATTGAAGATTCTCTTTAAAAGCATTCTAAACAATGGCATTACCAGGCAATTATGCTTCCATTTAAAATTGAATACAATAAAAGAGCTCTCCTTCTTTTATCATTTTTAGAGAAAATCTAAAACTTAAATTGTTCTTAATAGGCTCGACTCAAAGCACTAGACTGAATTATTAATAATTCATTCAGTGTGATAATGGAGAGTGAGGCCAAAGATCTGACCACCTGATTTGAAATGATCAAATCCTCTGGTAGCTAATTATGCCATGATTCAGGAGATTAACAAGAAGATCAGCATATTAAAATATTCCATCTCTGCATAATTGGACATATTTGCTGGATACATTTACTTGCTGTGTCCCATGAGAGATGTTTATACTCATGTGTTCAATAAATTTTATTTAACTACTCTAATAATTTTAATGTTGATCCTCCTTCTCTCGCTTAAACAATTTCATAGTAGTGTCTAGGCTTTTATTATTGTTAAATTAACAGGTCATTTTTTTTCTCTCCACAGCACTTTCAGAATTGACTAAAAATTTGATTGTGTTTCATTGTCCGAACACAAATCCAAGTCACACTATAAAAACAGAGGAAGTATTTATATTGGTATGAGACTCACTGTATAAATTCCTCTAACCAGGTTTTACTACTTCATTGACATACTTTGAATCTTAAGACAAAAACTCCCGTGTCACCCGTCTTTGTGAACTTCAAGTCAAATAACGCTGAGGCAGAAGGTGCTACCTTCCCTAGTTGCTATATCTTGAGTGTTCAGCATTTAGATGCAAAGAAATCAGAATAATCGTATTCATCCCAGGAACCCTGAAGGCCACTGAGGATTATTATACACTTAACTTCCTTCATCCTACCCTGACTAGCCCAGCAGATAGGCATTTTTGCAGTTTCCTAGTAAGTAAACGTTTTGGCATGAAATCTATCTTCCATTAAGATTTTTTAGAATGTGGACTAAATGATTTAAGGAAATATTCCTTTGAACTGGTCTAGTTGTGATGTGAAATCCATCTCTGATGGCTTTATGCTATGGTTTCTTCCATGACAAAAATATGTTATGGACATAATAGAGACCCAGCTGACAGGCATGTAGGCACTGCTCTAGTTATTGAAAAGAAATGAAATGTCCAGCTGATTGAGAGAATAGAGTGGTCAAATATAATTTTTAAAGACTATATTTTGTTTAGAAATTGATGTGACAGATAATTTAAAACCCTTTCAATAAGACAATATAACCTGTAAAAAAACAAATAGGGTGAATTAAGAAGATTATCTTAAAACTTACCATAGCCATGTATAAGAAAGAGCTGAAGAAGGATTTTGCTTCTCTTAGGATTATGTCTAGCTGTGAGCAACAGAAAATCTAACAGCAACTTAACAACTACAGGACTCTCACATAACAAGAGGGGCAAAGCCAGGTAGCACACTGGTACCTGGTGAGATACCAAGTGCTTTCTAAATGTCAGCTTTGCCATTCCTCACACATTGACTTTGTTGTCACACCTGTCACCTCACATTTAGGGGGTGACGAGTCCTACCCATGGAAAAAGGTGAAGAGTCTCTGTTCCTTTTCACGAGAGAAGTGAAAACTTTCCTGGGAGCCTCACCCAAAAGACTTCTTA